ACGGAGCCCCGGGAGCGCCTCCCGCCGCAACCGGGCCCGACAGCCGCCTGCGAGGTAACCCCGGCTGCCGGCGTGCGGGCCTGTAGCTGCTCACCTGTTGAGGTCAGAGCCGCTGTACTCATTAATTTTTTCCTAATAAAGCTCCATTTTAGCTCTCGATCTTTATCCCATGTCATGCACGTTTCCAGACGCTGCTGCTCTGTCCCTGGCTCCTGCCCTACAGTTCAATGCTGAGAGGAAAAAAAAAACCCAACCAAAACCCAACCCTGGACAACTAATCCTACTTCAATTAAACTGCAGCCATTAGTAATTTCTCAGCATTCATCTCTTCTGTGACCTAATTGTAGTGATTTAGTGCTTCCAACCTAAGTAATGATCAAGTTATAGGGTAATAATTAGTATCCCAGATGGGCAGGCCTTGATTGAAGCAGTGTACTACATCGTGGTAGAAGCTGATTATTGTGGAGGTAGAATGGAGCTAGAATAGCATGAGGGTCGAACTATAAGGTTGATAAAGAAATAAACCAGTTATTAAGATTGCAAAGCTTTCTTTTGTGGTCAGGAAGTAAAGCAGTGGGCCTAATTCTCCTTTCTGTGAACCTTTTGCAGATGCTGTCTTGTCTAGAATTAATTTAAAATGCTACTGCTAGGTTGAGATAGTGATACATTCCACCCACTTCATTCTGCCTTTCCATCCACTTGAATAAAGGCAGCACTCTGGGAGACACAGTGGTTAGGCCTGCTTAGGCCTTGTCTCTGTTCATTTCACTGAAGTCGAATGTACAGTTCTGATTAGCTAAATGTATAACTTTAAGCTTTCTTAAGCTTAGTTTGAATGATTTTTACTTTCTTTGGCAATTTACTGAATAAAGGTAACCAAATTAGAGATAGCAAATCTACTTAGCCAAATTAATATAAATTCACTTAGCAGAATCAAGGCCTCAGGAATGTGGTAGATACTGATGGTGCCACGTTTGTCATTTTATTTTTCAAATGCCAGGAATCCCTTTGACTTCAGTTTTGAAAAGTTTGGTTAATAGTTTGACTAGGTGCCCTTGAAGCCACAGAATATTCTGCCATTGATATTGACTGTTAAGAAAGTAGTTCCTAGATCTGCTTAAAATCTGAGGGAGGAATTTGGTATGTGCATGTTGAAATGATTTCTGTTGGCACCTTTCAGGCAACTCACATTTGGTCTGTACTCCTTGTCTTCAGGAATGTGAAGGTTTATTCTGTAGGATATTTTCTGTCTTCTCATTTTTTTACAGCAGTGATTAAAAATGAAGTGATAACAGTAAAATTTGTGAGATGTGATGAATTTGAGATTAAAAGGAAATTGTCAAGGGATGTACTTGTACAGTGGCAAAGGAGAAGAAATAGCTCCTTTGTGGGAACTGAGAGGACATCTGGAACATGGCCAACATTCACATTGTAGAAGGTACATCAGACATCAGTTGGCGAGGGTTTGGAGGATCTGTCCTAGGGTAAAAAAAATGGGTTACAGGACCACTGGGTAATTCATGTGAGAAGGGACTTCAGGAGGTGTTAAGTAGGGTCAGCTTATGAGGCCAGACCAAGTTGGTGAAAGCTTTATCCTGTCAGGAGTTGTAAACCTCAAAGAATATGAAGGCTGCATAGCCTCTCTGGGCAGCCTGTTCTAGCTTGATTGTCCTCATGATAAAAAAGCTTTTCCCTTTATCTAGTCAAAACCTCTCTTGCTTCAGTTACCATTAGAAGCATGCTTTTGTTGTTGGAAATAATTTTTGCCACGTAGGACTTGATATCTCAGGGGTAGGGGGTGCTTCTGATTTCTAGGACATCAGTAGAAGTACTGTGTCCTTTGAGACAATTAGGCTCCTGGTAATGGCAATCAGCTTTGACCTTATGATCTAAAAGGAGGATGAACTCAGCTCTGTTTTTAAAAGGTAGTGAATAGAAGTGGTAGAAAGGGAGTGTCATGAGTCAGTCTTCCAGCTAGCTTGGGTGGGTATCAGTTGTGGAACAGTATGGCTCTCGTATTTACCTGCCTTGGGGCAGGCTTTATGGCCTTCCTGTCCACTATCTAAGCTAACAAGTTCAGTGATAGCCTGGGATATTTGTACCATTCTGTTGTGACTTCACTGTAGAGATACTTTTTAAAGGCTAATAAAACATTACAGTGTCAGTACAGGATGAACTTTAAAACGTGCTTCTGTTCTTTCCTACCCTTTAAAAAAAATAAATTTGCAAACCTAAAAAGTAATCAATGTTCCTGATGAAGTGAATCATTACTGTGGTGTTCAAAAATGAGCTTTTAGTGTAAGGGAGGATTAATCCTGTGTGCATTTTGTTTCTTCATTATTTTTAGGGGTTGGAAAGACTACTTTGATCCAGAAAGTCACTCAAGCTCTAAAATCTTCAGGCATTCCCATTGATGGATTTTACACAGAGGAAGTTAGAGAAGGTGGCAGGAGAACAGGCTTTGATGTTGTCACTTTGTCTGGAAAACGAGGACCTTTATCTAGAGTCAGGTACTGAGGTTTTAATAACTGTAAATGGCTTATTGTTTTATGCTTCTGCTTCGGTCTGTCAGCATGTAAAATGTGCCTCCAGAAGGTGATTTCCAGCACATGAATGGCTTGTTCAGTTCTCTTGTCTTGGCTGATACCTGTATTGTATATGTAGACAGTGAGTGTATTGCATAGTGAAATATTGAAGATGTGCTAGGGAAGGGTCTTCTCTCTTACTGCCTATTTTACAGCAGATAGAGTGGAAGCACTGCTGAGCATTTTATTGTGAGGTCAAGTCTCTTTGAGGTACAGTAAGTAGCTTATTGTATTGTTGGCAGAGAGGAAGATTTTTTGTTTCCACCAGCTTATTTATGGAGACAGAAGTGGAAAATAAAAGGGAAATTGCATATAACATAGTTTTAAAGAGCCACTGACTGGCCTGCAAAACCCACATGTGAATTTTAAGAAAAAGAGGATTTCAGAGCCCCACTGAGGGAGGCTTCTGAAGTGCAGAGGGGCTCACAGTCTCTCCTGGTTCACTAAACTTGGCTTTTCACACTTTGTGCAAGACTTAGTCTGCACCTCGTTCAGATACAGTTGATCTGACTAAATAATTTGCATGCTGCTAATAAAGAAGATTCACCTAGGATGGTGTGATGCAGCACATGAAAACTGAGGTTTTTTCCAAGTTTGTTTAAGGGTTTTGCAGCCCATACGGAGATTTGGGCTACTGCTGTGATGCTGTCTGTAGTGTCACATTACCAAATTCAAAGATCTGAACTGCTGGCATGTATTTTGATTTCAGTGTAAATATACCTGCTGGTGTTTAGATCCTATTGTCCTTCTGAACACTTTCAAATTTGAGCTTACAGATTTGTGAAGGTAGCTTATGGTATATTTATTATCTGAAAGAATGCTATCTGCAGTATGACTGAATGGATGGTTTAGAGTCCTCTTAGAACTAAGGGGATTTGACTTATGAGAATAATTTCTCATAAATCCACTTGAAATGACTGTGGTATATTCTCACTAAACTCATTACTTAGAAGGACTTGTGTTTCTCTTTTTCAAATTCAGTTCGGATTCTTCAAGACGTGAATATCGGGTTGGACAGTATGTTGTAGACCTTGTTTCATTTGAGCAGTTGGTTCTACCTATGCTGAGAAATGTAAGTATTCTGTGAAAGCTGCTGAAAAATGGATGTTTTATGATAATCAGTGTTATTGGAAGGCCCTTCTAGAGCACTATTTTTTGATATTAATAAATGACCTGTTTCTTGGGTATTGCTGATTCTGATTGACTTCAGGATCAGGAAGCTGGAGGAACAAATCTGTCTTGTTCTCTTGTGCTTATTGTAGTGTTGGAGAGATTGCAATCCCCTGTCATTCTTGATCTGACATAATCCTGTGAAATAGACTTCCTTGGCCTGAGAGATAACCGAGAGGAGGTTTCTTCCTATGCCACTGTCTTGCATATTGGAAAGCAAACAAAATGTATGGGTGGCTTACCAGGCAGAACTGGGTGGAGTCAGTGGGTCCAGGAAAAAGCCCTTTGCTGCTGCTTTTCTTCTTTACAGCTTTTTTTCTCCCTCTTGTTCTGATTCCCACCTTCTTCCAGTAGAAGCATTAGTTTCTTGAATCTAGTGGTTATTTTTGATTACCACTGTATAAGTACTTGCAGACTGGTAGGTTTTAACTGATGATAGCAGCCTGATAATTTGGGATTTAGCCTGCTGCAGAAGGAATGCTCTTAACTGTGACAAGACTTTCTACACAGTCACTTTCCAATTCTTCTAACATTCTGTTACTGCCTTTTTCCTTCTCCCCCTCTCTCACGCCAACCTTTCCCCTCTCCAAAATTAAACAAGAACAGATCTGATTTTGGCAATAACATATCACAAGCAGTGTACAGCAGCTGCTGAACTGTACCACTAAAAAAAAACCTATTGTGAGTTTTCTACACTGCCAAAGCTCAAGGGACCAAGGAAGAAGACTCTTCTTAATGAACTTCAAAAGAACAAAAAACCAAAGAGGTACAAGGACCAAAATTGACATTGAGAATCTGATTCTTGTTTTTGTAAGGGAACAGTCTGAGAGTAGGGAAGCAGAGATGGTGGGAGCAAGGGAGAAAGGAAATATTAATAAAATGGGACAATTTTTATATGTTTAATTTCACTTTAACTTGATTTATTGTGTTAGTAAATAGAAGCATAGTTTAATAAAAAAGACTTCACTAAGCCAGCACTGTACTTGGAATCCTTTTACTGCTGCAGTAATGTGAAGTCTAGGAGAGATCTTGCTAGAAGAGTGTTAGCAGTGTTGAATTTCTCTCGTTGTTTTATGGGTTTCTGCAAGTAGAAGAGAAGAGCGAAGAGAAGAAGAAAAGGGGCCAGCAGGGTCGGACAGTGCATGGCCCTGTTCTTGTTGAAAGCGCTATTAATCTGGTTTGTGGGAATGTTGTCATGCATGTAGGTGGCACAGAATGGGAGAGGAGGAGAGTGTGGAAGATTACAGAACTGAAACAAGAAGAGACAAATGAAGAATGAGGGCAGGAGAGTCATAGGTATGGCCTGGTTTGATCAGAGAGCAGCACAGAGTGGGCATGTGCCCATTTAGCTTTCGGGACAGCTTCAGCTCTTGGCTTGGATCTCATTCACTCCAGTGAAAACAGGAGTAGATCCTACAGTGGATGATCTTTCTGGTTCTGGAAAATTTACCAGGCAGGACTGAGGATTTTTTTCAAAGCAAAATGCTCTCTCTTTGCTCACTGATTTACGAAAGAATTTTAGATAAAACAGCTATTCAGCAGGACTTAGCTTGAATATATTTTAGGACGCATGTTACACAGTTCTTCCACTTTCCCAGAAGCAAATACTTTGCCTTCACAAGGCAAAACATTTATTTTCCCTTTTTTTTAGGTTCTGTATAATATGACTGGTATCGGTATATATTCATGGATCTACAGTGAGGTTTTGACTTCAGTTGATTTCCTCCTCACTTTTATAAATAATGGAGTACAGTTCTCAGTTACTTTTCCTGAGAGGGTAGGCAGTGCACTTCCTTTTCTGTTGAATAGTTCCTTCGCTTTCCAAGTTGCCTTTCCCTCAGTGGCAATATTACCTGTGTTCTCTCCTAGACTTCCCCATCAGCAGCACAGTACTGTTTAGCACAGTATTCACTTCATGAAAGAAGCAAACAAACCACAAACCTGGTAAATAGTATGGTGCCTACCTTACAATCCAGGGGTGGCCTAGAACTATTAAATAAGCAATATCTTGACAAAGAAATGGAAGATAACTGTTCTGATGTGATAGAGTCTTGGAAACAGCTTTGTTGTTATCCACATATCTTTGAAGAAAACTAGTTCTGAGAGAAATGCTAGTTTTGACCCTCCTTTGACTAAGGTACAGGAGAAGAAACTTCCAGAGCTAGATTTAATGCAGGTCTTTTTTTTTTTTTTTTAATATTTGTGTTGTGCGGATGTTGATCTATCCTAAATGCTTAATTTGATGGGAAGAGTGGAGTTTTGAAAAATTGTCCCTCAAATTGACTGAGAGTTGCTGGTAGGCAAAGTGAAGTTCTTAGTTGTCAAATAGCTCTTATAGGACTACTGTAAGAGTTCTGATTTGAAGGAAAACTGATGTTCTGTATATTTCCTATTGTATTGTAGTTGTTATTTATGCTGTACATATATTTTCATCTTTCAAAAAATCTGTGCTGAAATAGAAATGATAGATTTATAAGTTTGTCAGTTACCAGCAGCAGCTCTGACTCTTCCACCTTCACCAGCATTACAATTGAATTGGGGTTTTTTTGAAGGTATTTCTTTTATTAGCATAGAATTATTTGTGGTGCTTGTTCTGTGTTGTTTACAGTCTCTTGATGCACTTTTCCACAGGTAAACCATGGCAGTGATGCAGAGAAAAAAATCTGTGTTATAGATGAGATTGGTAAAATGGAGCTCTTCAGCCAGGCTTTTATTCAAGCTGTTCGTCAAACACTGACTGGCTCAGAGACTGTGGTGCTTGGAACTATTCCAATACCTAAGGGAAAGCCACTGGATCTTGTTGAAGAAATAAGAAGTCGGAAAGATGTTAAAGTGTTTAATGTAAGTAATATTTAATATCCTTAAAGAGCCCTTTGTTCTAGGTTGCTGGTTTGTATTTGGCTCTGTTTAAAAAACAATTGTTACTACCAATTGATAGCTGTGGGTAGCTTGTATGAAATAAGTTTTTTAGTTTCCATTTTACTCTTAATGGGCAGGTGTTCACCTTATAAAAAAAAAAATTGCATTTGGCACTTACTGTGGCAGTCTCACACAGCTGGGCTTGTGAGGGGCTGCAGAAGTAATGATATAGTTGTTTTAAAAGGTTTTCTTGCTGTAGTATTATTGCCTTATAAGTATTCGTTATTCCTAAGAGTTGAATCTTTTAAAGTACGTTCAGATTTTTAAATTATTTTTTTAGACTGGCTTGCAGAAATATTACCAGTAATTCATATGGAAGGAAAAAAAGGGGAAAAAAAGGCAGCAGTGGATTTTGCAGAAGTGATTTCTAGAAGAAAGACACTTGTAAATGGAGTGTACTTTCTCTGGAGTCAGTGAACCAATTTTGGAATTCATTATGTTATTTTTATAGACATAATTTTCATAATACTAGGGCCTCAAAGTGCATTTCTGATCAGTTATGGGGAGTTTCTCAAAAACATCACAACAAAACAAAGCCTGTTCACAGGAGTACATGCCTGAGGTTTTCTGAATGTCTCCAAGTGTCCTGGATGCTTCACAAGCTAAATACAGCCCCCACTCCTTTGATTTATTTTTCTGCTCAGTGTACTATTTGTAGTAGAGAATGAAGCTATATAGCCAAAACTGAACTGTGCATCTCTATAAAAATACACATTCAGGAAGTGGGACTTACACATCCTGCCTTACTAACAGGGGTAATAGAGCAGTATACTGTTATTTGTCAGGTGCACATCACAGTGAGAATACATACTTTGTTTTCATCCAAGTGAATGAGGAATGAAAAAACACGATCTCAACAACTTTATACTGAATGATCTTAATTACTGCAGAGAAAGCAAAGTCTCCATCTTCTTTTTTCATCTTCAAATTGAAATTAATAAAACTGCAGTGCTCAGAAAATTTCTTCAGCTTTCTTTCAGTTGGTGGTCCCATCATCATCTTAAATTTCTGTTTTTCAAATTAAATTCCTGTTTAATTAAGTGTTAAAGTCATCCTAGGAGCAAAGATGATAGAAGATTCCTTTCCACACGTAAACATTCAACTCCTACCTTTGCTTTTGGAGATAAAACCCCAAGTTTCCCACTGACAAGCTGATGTGTATTAGTGGTCAGGTTACTGAATGGGGATGCATGTAAATGTGAATTTTATATGACTTGCTTTACAGCAGTAGGTCTGAGGAGAGGGAATGGAGAATGCCTCACTGAATGTAACAGTCATTCAGTGCTTTGTCTGCAGTCATGGCAAGGCAATAGTGTGCATTTGGCCTGCTCAGGGGAGAAAATGGAGTGCTAGAAAACAGCTTTTGGCTTTTCAAGGAAGCTTCTGAGGCTTCCTCTATCTCTTTTATTATCAGTGATGTTCTGAGGGCATGTGCCACTCGGCCCTGGGTTGTTACCTGTATCAGTCTGCTAATGTATAATTCACTTAAGTACTGACTACAGCCAGCAAAAGTCTGCCTGAAACTTCAATGGAGCAATTTTTTCTGTCAAAAAAACCCCTTTACTAAAAAATGAGCCATCCTGTTCATGCTGCTGAGCTTAGGACATGCAGGTTTCTTTGTTTAAGTAGAGTTCTCCAGTTAATCCATTAGCCACAAGCACGGGTGTGAAATGTGTGACAGACTGCAATAGTTCCAAGGTGGCAGAGACCTGCTATGCTAAAGTCTCATGCAGGAGAGCATCTGTCTTGCTTGCTGCAGTGACATGCTATACATGCTCTTGCCCAGCTAGTTAAAACATGTACATGAGCAGGAACAGAACGTGCCCACGGGGAGTCAGAGGTGTTACTAGCTGAAGTAAATACTGGCTCCGTAGCTATGTTCTTCAAGGGCTGTGGCATGATGAGAACCTGGAGTGCCCAAATAGCTCATGGTCAGTAATTTCTTATTAACTTTTATGATGACTGGAAGTGTGCAGAATTGGGTGACTGACTACCTTCCAAAAAAGTTCAGCCTGCTTTGTTACTTACTACAGAGTTAGGCTGCGTTCAAGTAACGCAGCAGTTTTCTCATCCTTCTCTTAGTGTCACAAGGACAGCTCTGGTGTTTAACGCTAAGTGCAGAGAGACAGCTGTTTGGGGTTTGACAGTCCCTTCTGTCTTGAAAACATTCAGTTGGTGTAAAGAGGCCCCGATGCCCTAAAAGCAGTTGAGCATTTGGTCCCAAATGTTTATTATGTTTAGAGCACTTAACTATAGGAGCTCTGATATTTAACACCTTTCTTTTCATTGTTGCCCAATTCCCTTTTGCTGAGAACTAAACTTTCCAGGGAAACTACAGAGGCTCTTTTTGCACTGCCCGGGTCTGTGTGGTTTTGCAGACACAGTGTCATAAATAGGATCAGATTATTCTTAGCAGCTGCCACATACTCATTTTCTCCCATTTTCCCATCTATTAATTTTGCTTCCATGAAACCCATGCCTTTTAAGAAAGAAAAGTTAAATGGATCAGAGTAAGAAAAGGTTCCATTTGAACAGACTGTATGTACAAGAGGGCTTTTCTTGAGGGTGCATTTAACAGTTAGGGGAAGAAAGCTTTTGTCCTCTACTGTTGCCTGCTTGGCAAGAGTCTAGGTGGTAGTTTCCTCCAAATTACCTAAATGCTCAGTATAAGCAGCATCTACCGTTATTTTCATCTCCCTGTCTAAAAATGTACCCATCTGTTTGTACATTCAGTACAGATACGGGGAGATTTGTTCTCTCTGGGAAAGCTGCCTGCACAGAATGTATCCAGATCTTAAGAGGAGACTTATCTATCAAGCAGCCTTTGTAAAACAGTTGTGAAAATTTCCCAGCACTTGGCACTTTCTCTCTGTTACTCTCACTGGACTTCTGGCATGTAGGTATGGAAAAGGGATAGATAAAATGTAGTATTGTTTCTGTTGGCTGTGAGACAGTGGGAAGAGCTATTAAATGTTTAGAAGGTCCTTTGAAAGTCAGGATATCAGGACACTTGCTGTGAGATTTAGAGTTTGGCTGATCTGTGCACTATGCCTTGTTTACCTTGGGGGCTCTCAATAGCCTTACTGAAGAGCAATTCCATTCTTTGTTGTCTTGCTCTCTTTGTTATTGTGGGGCATTCTGTTTATCTTAGAATAGGCTTGGAATGATACTCAGTAAAATCAGCAACATTTTTCATTCCCTTTTTTCAGCAGTCCGATGTTGATCTGCTGTCTTGAATTCAAGTGGTGTGGGTGAGACCACCATCTCTAGGTTTTAGTGTTGGTTTCCAGCATTTGGATAGGATGTCTGTGACTGTAAATAGCAGTAGACTTCTAGGTCCAAATTCTTCAGGTAGGGCTGTCAACTAGTTAAGAAAAATGGTGATGATGATAATAATTTCTACTATTTAGTATTGACTGTAGTACTGGAAGGGATACAAACCCTTGTGCTCAGATCTTAAATGCAGCTGCAAGGAATGCAGTGAAACCTTGTTGGCAGAGTTTTATGCCATCCATAGTGCGGTGTCTCTCCTTCCTCCTCAAACAGCATTTCTCAAACTTTGTTAAAAATATGAACACCCCTACTTTTTTTTGGCTCATCTGTCTTTGTCTAATTTCTTCCTGCCCTCTCTGCAGGGATCTGAACAGTGGGAAAAATTTCTTAGGCTTTTTAAAATGAGGCTTTTGCTGACACTTCACAATTGCTTGTTAACTCTCTCACCACCCCAGCCATCTCCCCAGGTTTTGGTTGAGTTAGGAATGCCTGGCACTGTGGGTCACTGGGTTCTGTATCAGGACCTGCTCTATCAAGAAGGGGTAATTTATCCGCCCAGCCCCCTGCAGCTCTGTGCTTTATTGTTGCTGTAGCCGGGAGCTGAGCTGACTAGCAAGTGCTAGCATTTGCTTGGCAGTTTACAGTAATCTGCATGTGCTGCAATGCAGATGGGCCCAGCAAAATACGGGACTGTATGGATTTTCACATGTACTGGTCTTAAAGCCCAACATTTCCATGGACTGGTCAATGAAAGGCATACCTCAATGTGCTACAAAAGCCCACCAGCTTTCTCAAGTAGTCTTCTTTCTTTTACAAGGTGTTTCTATCCTGCAGTGCTAAGGTTTCTTGGATTAAAGAGTTGGGCTGCTAAGCATGTTTTAATATTTTTCATTTCAGATGTTTTTGACTAGGTCTGTCATGCAAATAAATACAGCCCTTTCAAGTACTGAAGGCATAAGAACTCTATAGTAGGAAAATTATATTTGGTAATTGAAAAGGATTTCTAGTAATGACAAAAGTACATGCTGGTTCTTTGAGTGATTCTTGTTGGTTATTCAAGCCCTGAATAATACTGCAAAAAACCATGGGTAATTAAATCAAAAAGATCACTGAATATTCAATTACATATGCAGGTTTGTGGGTTTAGCTTGTGTTTTCAGTAGCAGAAGGTGGCAGGTGCTTGACACTCAACATTCCTCCACTGAGAAAGAAATGCATTTGAATTTCTGCTTTGTTTTTGAAGTAAACACTGATACAGAGGTTATTCATCAAATTACATCAGTTTTAATTTCTCTTTCTCTAGGTTAGTAAGGAAAACAGAAACAGCATTTTGCAAGACATCTTGGCAGCTGTAGAATCCTGCAGAAAATGAAGACCTTTTCTTCCCTGTAAACACAAAAGCTTTTATTTTAACAAAGTATTACAACATTTTGCGGATGTTTTGGAATCTTTCCTTCCTGCTTTAGCCCCTGGAGGCTTTATTGGAGCCTTCAGGGTAAATAAGGTAAAACTGGTAAAATGAGATAACATGATTCTTGTTTATTCAGTTCACAAGCTGATCCATTCAGAAAATTGAACAGATGCGTAGTTAACATCCAGTTCTAATCTGGGTATTTGAAAGTTAGGTGGTCTGACTCTGATCTTAGTTATACCATGTAAAAGCAATTAACTATCAAATCTGTTTGAGATCTTAGTCTTTCAGAGTGTGGACTGTTTTGCCAGGAGAACAGTTCCGTATCTGGAACTTAGCCCTGGTGTAACAGAAAGAATTCTGCCCAAAACGTATGGTCTGCCTAGTTTATGCAGAAATATCTTTGCTGTCAGTGACCCAGCTTAGGTGTGTCCAAGTGTGTCTCAGCATGGGTGCTGATGATTCATGAGGTACAAGGAATAAGCAGATGCTCTCCCCCTGCCCCCAGACACCTCTCTCTCTCCAGTTGCAGTATAAGAGGGGTTATCTAGAATTTCAAGGAAGTTTCCTGTAGTCCCAAGTGGCATTTACAGAATTCCACTTCAGGAGGAAAAATAACCAACTTTACCCTGTCCTGAGTGGCCCAGACAGTTATTGAGGGCTGCATTTTAGGTTCATTTCCAATGGCAATCCTGCCTCTCACCCCCTTAAAAAGAATACATATATAAATCTTCAAGTCCATGAAGTTCAGTCAAATCTTCACTTGTGTTTTTCATGCAAAGGTTATTAAGTCAGGATCAACTTAATACTGCATTTGTCCATATGGGTTTTACAATGTTATGTTTATTAATACTTTTTGTTTGGTTGGGATTTTTCCTTATTCAATTCTGTACATGCTTAATGGTTAATGGTGAAATAAGTGTTTGAGAGTATTAGACAATGTGTTTCCCTGTGAGGTGTGCAGCTGTGTTCAGGAGAAGTGCTACCACCTAATCAGTGTTGTGTGTTGTGAAAACAGAGTTCCCTCCCAGGTGCACACATGATTATTGTACAATTTATAGTCATCTCTGGCTGTAAAAAGTTGTTAAGAATTCAGTCATTTCTCAACTTTTTTCTGTTCAGTTCAACAACTGTTAAAAGGAGCAGACTATTTAAAGGCATTTTCAAATATCATTTGAGTTACTTATTTCTGTAAAACTGACACCCAAAGTTGTAGGGGACTGGATGGGGAAAGGCATGTTTACAGGTGCCCTGGAAACAACTGGGAGCATGGAGGGAATGTCCTTTCACTTTCCTATCTTTAGAAGGAGGGTCTGGTACAAACATTGCCCCTCCACAGATGGTAGGAGGTACATGCTACGTTAAAGAATGGCCTTATTCCCTGACTACCCTGTTACGCTACCATTCTGCCCAAATCCATTTGGATGGTAGTATCGTCTTCATCGTATTTGAGAAAAAGAAAATTCCTTATAGGGTCCCACTCCTTTGAGAATGTACAGCTTCTGGCTGCTTTTTGCAAAATAAGGCTGTGTCCTGAAGGTATCACTAATCAATTACTTCAGGCATCTTACTTGGACAAGATATCTTATTAGAGGTGGTGAAGGACTTGGGACCAAAGTAAACTTCAGGGCTATGTGCCATAGACTTTCAAACAGAAACCTCTTTGCTTAAGTGTGGGACATCCTACTGTTTCAGTGTTAAGTCTCTTAAGCTGTTAAATATGCTGCAAAAAAATAGTTCTTTCAATGATTAAATAATTATCTAAAGTCTAGCAAGGTTTTAGTGGGACTGCAGTTGAGTCTTAAATGAGGACTAACCTTTAAAACTAAAATAAAATGGAGATATTTGACACTTTGTAGAAGCTGGGGAGGGGAGTTTCTTCAGGAGTAATGGCAGAGTTCAGTTTTCCAAATTCCAGTTCAGCCAGTATTACTGGGAGTTCATCACTTAGTGTGTTATTTTTTCATCATAAAAGTAGATATATTGCCCTGCATATAGCACCATGATGTCTGCTGTAGTCCTATCATTTAATAGACTGGAAAAAAAAGGAGAAAGAATCGTAACAATGTCTGAGGAACTTTTGACCAAGGTGCTTCTAGTACTTTTAAGCCATTGTCTCATGGTACAAGGAAGACCTTTTGTAGTGAGGGTAGTTAGTCACTGGAAAAACTTCCAAAATGGAGGTGGATTTGTCCTTCACTGGAACTGTGAGTGAAGTATCAGCCCTTTTAAATCAAAGGGTATTTTTGCTACTGACATCAATGGCTCTTGCTTTCTGTTCCTTATCTCAAGACTGGTGAGAGTCTTTAATTTGTTGTTGTTCTTTTTTTTTAAGCCCATCTTCTCTCTGAGCTAGAGTGCTTTTCAAGAGAAATAAAGAGAAATTTTGTGGTCTGTGTTTAGCAGGAGATCCTAGATGACCTTAACAGTCATGTCTGGCCTTTAAATCTGAGACAGTCCTGAAGAAATGATTTGCCTGTTTCAAATATACATTGAGTGAGTGAGAAAGTAGTATTTCCAACTGAACTTAGTTTTTATGACACCCTGTGTTTACTTTAGAGATAAAAATTTATTGTCTGGTCTTGCACTAGTAAAATATTTGGAAGGCCTTGAGAGCACTGTAACAACAAACAGAGCATTCACGATTCCCCTGATGGGCTGATTTTACTAATAGCACACATTTGGTGAAAATAACCTCTGGTGTACCAGCAAGATTCCAGATGATAACATTAGTGCACCTGCAGGTTTTAATTGGTGCAAAAACGGGGAGAATATGAGGTACCAATTACTCTCTTGAAGCCCAAGAATCAAGGACTTTTTGGCAAGGAGGCTTGTAATTCCAACATAAATTGCGCACAGCATGGAATAAACAGGGCCTGCATTATTCATCATGTATTAGACAATTTCTGACTTGTAAAACTCTGAGAAGGCTGAATGAGAGAGGTGAATCTTTAACACTGGACCTACTGCAAAGTTAATTAAAATAGTATGTCTGTTGCAGATTTAAGGATGTACAAGCACTCGTGAAACACTGTAATTAAATACCAGCTCCCAATCTAGGGAGTAATCTAAATATGGCAATAATTGGGTAGTTGAAAAACATGCATCGATGAGAAAATGATTATTACATTCAGGAGAATTTCACTGGTAATTCTGATCTTCTAAAATGAGCTGCACAAAATTCAGCTAATCTTTAACTTAAATTCCCCAGCAAGAGAAGAGCAGTTGGTGGGTTGGAGACAAATGCAGATGACATTTCGTGCTTTATTCTAACAAGTAACTTTAAAAAAAAAAACCTGTGATTGACATCGCAGAGACTCTTAAGAACTTAATAGTTTCAGAACTTTGTTCGTAAGTATTGAGAGTATCTGGCGATCTTGTCAAGGCGAAAAGACTCATGCTGGTAAGTCCTTTCTGTTAACATTTGTCTTAAATGCAGTGAATGCCAAGATTTTCTGTCTATGGGAGTGAGGTGAGACTTTTCAACAAGAATGCCAGTTCCTCACATAGAAGAAGTTTGTATGGCACTTCAAAATGGAGGGAACAGCAGGTTCTCCAGCATTTGTATTTTTGGAGGAATGGAAATGAACTTTGTATGTTGTGCCCATCTTGCTTGCTGTGGTGGGAACCCGCTGTGCTGAAGGCCACGCTGGAGGCTTGCCAGCGTACCTGGTGGATGTGAGCAGTTCAGCAGCCTGTGGTTGGCTTGGTAAAGTGTTACTAAAAGTTGTGTTACCAGATCTTCAGGCCATGTTTCACCCTTAGGAGTGTAGCACCTGGCTTTTACTGTATGATGTAAACAAGAGCCTATTGGTGAAAGGAAAGTTTAGGAAAACAACATGGCGGGGTGGGGGTGTGGGGGTAAGTATCCCACATTTAATGCAAGGGCTGAAATACTGTGTTTGTGCTTGTTTTACCATCTACTCAATATCCTCCTTCCTGTAGCCTGCTCTACTCGATGTGTTCCTCTCTGCTCTGGTTGTGAGGGCCTCACTGAGCCAGTGTGCGTAAAATCACTCCCAGTGTTTCTTTTCAGCAATGGTGATGTTATCTGGGATTAAGCTGGGGGAGGCAGATAGGGCCTCCATCTCTTCATCCCTTCTGACATCTCTGAAAGAACCACATGTACCAAATGCTCTTGTGGATCGAGTGCTTGATTTCCTCAAAGGATTCATTCAGCTTGCTAGTGAGACCAGAGTGTTTGTTACTGTTTTCAGGTTGCAGAAGCAAGAAGGTTCTGGGCTGGCTGAATGAGCATCGAGCAGGCTTCTGCCTTCAGCCCCGGCTGAGTAAGTGGCCTCTGCAGCTCTGGAAAAATTAAAGCATAGCACCTGCATCTTCAAAACTGACACAAAATGGAACTGCCTATAAAAGGTACTTAAGTGTTTGTGGTGGTCATCTGTCCTGCATCACAGATGTGGTAAGAGATCAGACAGGTAATGTAGGCAGACTGTTCAGCTTGAGCAACTTCAGGGCCAAGTTTTAGGCATTGTGAAACCTACCATCAGTGCTGCAGCTGACTTAAAAGCAGTGAAAGTTGTCTTTGCTTTTCATTCTGACCCCCAAACTGCCCAACAAGGGGGGGTTCTTGAGGTGCCACAGGTACCTCCATCTTGCAACTCTGAAGCATCTCCTGTGTGAGGTTAAGTATTAAGCTGCATAGGTCTTTCAGGAATAAAAGTATGGCCTAAAGCCTTTGTGTATCTGTAGGCACTGATGCTGAGAACAGCAGTCCTACAGACTCAGGTGCCTTTTGGTGCTATGAAGAGCTGTTCTGAGCAGCTTACTGTTGGAATTAGGCCTTGCATAAAGGTTAGGTACCTGTTTGTTAGCTTTTTGTGCATCAGCACCTTAGATGCATTGTCCATCCTGTACAGAGTAAACAGGTCTCTCTATACCTCATGCAAACATGGGGTGAGGTCTAAGATGTGTTTAATCAGTACAGCCTCATACCTACTTCCAGGTTTTATTTCTAACCATCAGATCTGATTATTCTGTAGGATTGGCTTGTATTTAAAAACAATGCATACAGCAGTAGTCTTTTTAATAACAGCAGACTATATCCTAAATCACGGAGAAATGTAATGTGCGAGAGTTTGTGCTGTCCTCATAGGGTTTGGGTTTTTTTGTCTTTGTTACTGTTGTTAATGGTCACTCTTAGGCTTTTCAACTCGGTATGCTACAGTAACAACCTTATTGCAAAATAAACACTGTGTAAGACATGGCTACAAAAAGGAACTCTTTTTTTTAATCTTACCTTGACTCCTGCTTTGCCCTGCTTGTGTGCTGTGACTCAACAAAGGAGTTAAGACATGCATTTTCTGGTAGCCACCCTGTGCAGCCGGAGGGTGGACTTCATGGCACACTCCTGTCCCCAAGGAGTTCTGTTCCAGGGCTGGTGGCTTGAACTAAGTCAGGAACTGTGAGGCAGCTGCATTCTCTTAGGGTACAGTACCAGAGGGCATGGAGATGGTAGCTTCCCTTACAGAAGCTTTGGTGCTGGGGGAAGGTGGTGTTGCTGGGCCTCCGTCCACGCTAAACAACAGCAGCTTGCTGCTGGGAGGATTTGTGCAGCTGTTTCCCAAGCTGGTTTAGTGTGCTTGAGTTGGATACATAGAATAATTTAGGTTGATTGGGACTACTGGAGTTACTTATTTTTGATGGAAATGAATTCAAATTTAAGTTAAAGATGTGAAAATTGGAGGCCTAAGTGAGGCTAACTGAATATGAGAAGGGTTTTAGTGCTTTCCACAGCTGCCTGTTTGCTCTGCCTCCAGGCAGGGCAGGGTTTAGGAAGACAAAGCAGTGATTGTTTATCGTAGTAGACTGCCATGCAAAAGCCCCCAGGGCAGAAATGGGGCTGGTGGCTGTTACTAAGAGCCTTCCACCTACCTGTATAACCTCCATCCATTTGTAATGAAGCACTTCATGAGCAGGGTGGGGGAGGAGAGGTATGATCTGCAAGAAATGGTCAGAAGGGAGCAGCTGAATTCAATTTCCTCTTCCGTATCGCATCGGGATGCTGGAGGAGACGTTAGTAGGGCCTAAACTGCACTGATGACCATAGATCTCGGGGGTCTGTACATGAATACTCTGCTTTTGCCCTTGCAAACATGATCAGAATTTTGCCTGAGTTGTGCTGAGCTTTATAAATAAGCAGTTCATCAAGATCTGAAGTGAAAGAAAAACAGTAGATTTCTCAATTTCATAAGGCAGAAAGCAAGCGAAAACAATTCAAAATAAAAAAGAAAATCCAAAAACTGCTGCCACACAAAACGTACTTTGATCATTTTATTTTCACTAGGTGTTATTTAGTTCTACTACTTATAATCTGAAGTGTGGCACAGTAGGAAGCTCAGAATGCAACTGTGTATTGCCTAACAGTAATAAGACTTAGCTACAGCATCTCTTGTTAAATCTTTCTTGTTAATTGGGACAACACAGCCTGGCTGCACATCACCGTGTTGAGAATTAGAAACAATCTATGGTAGTTACAGTAAAGAGGAACAGCAAGACACTGATAGCTGCGATTTTTTTTAATTAAAAAAGAATGAGAACAGGCGTGTGTGTGTTCAGACACTGTGGTAGAGGAAGGATTTGTTGTAGCCTTTTGGCTTCCAAAGTAGTCATGCATTCCTGTAAATCAGTGTTTCTCAAACTCTGTGAAAGCATGGCCTCCCTATTTGCCTCATCTGTCTTTATGCAACTATCAAATTGGCAGCATCTCAGTTTCT